ATTTTTTATGTTTGGCGTGTGCAGTACCATAGTGAACTATATTTTACCCTGAATTGTTAATACAATTTATATTTTATTTTATTAAAGTCATTTCATTTCATTTAAAATACCATATCAGGCATATCCCTTGTTTTAAATTCTTTTCATCCACCATCCCTGACAAATTGTTCTATGGTGGTTTTATTTTTATGATTTTGAATGAATAATTTATTAAATGCAAGGAATATGGTGTTATTTGTAAGTTTATTTCTCTCACAGTCGCCTATTTTATGTAACTTATAAGTATTGTGTAATTTCAAAGAAAAATCAATATTTTATGTGATTTGATTCATTCTAAGGAATTTGTAAGAAAAATAAATTACTTGTACTTTAAAAAAATATTTTAGTATAAGGTGTATGACAAATGCAATCAAGTGATTCGAAAATCAGAACTACAGTAAAATATTAGAGTACTAGTCCCAAAAATAAATTAAACTATAAATTCTAAGGATGGAATACAAATTAAACATTTACATTCCCTGTTAACTTGGAGACATAAAAATGTATGAACATAAAATAAATAATGTGTTACAATCTTACTGAGTGAGTGTTTTTAGATGTTCCGAAACATCATATTTGCCTACAACAATTAATTGTATCATACTACCATGAAACTAAACCCAATGTAAAAATTAATTGAATCTGAGTTGCAAATTTTTTTTACGATACTTATGTTTCTGTACCTATTACATTTTAAAACAATGATAATTTTATGCTAACCATGTTCAACAAATGTGCAAAGAGAGTGTGCAAAGACTTTGTATACTTAAACCTATTGATTAAAATTGATGACAATGATATTAATTTATGTGAAATTTTTTTTAGATTTGATTTTTATTTAGGGAAAAATATTGTATAAAACCATATTATACAATATTAAATAGGTATAAAAACAAAATTAATTACACATGAGCTGATAACATTGTTGAATTATTGTATCATGAGACATAATATAGTCGGTAAATGAGTAGAACATATTTAAGAAAATGTATCAAAAGGTTAAACTACAGAAATCTCAAATAACTGCAAAAATATAGATTTTATTTTTGTATGAGATTAGGTACTATAACTTGACTGACAAAAAAAGTGTTTGGACTACTAATAAATAGTGAATTATTAACTATGTAAGCTTATTGAGTTTAATTAAATTTTTCTCAATGTTAGGTTAGATAATTGCATTTATTTATTTTATCAAAATTATGTTTAAAAATAAAATTACTGAAGTATTTAGTATAAAAATGTTTACTTATAATGATAAATTATTTTAATTTTAATTTTAATTTGTAAACTAGTTTCAAAAACAATATTGAATTGAAATTTTACTCAAAGCAAAAAACAAATATTCATCAAATTAACATACATTTTTTAATATATAGGTCCCAATAATTCTTGATTTGTACAACAACTCGTATGCCGAGCTGCATGAACAATCACTAAACATTTAATTAATCAATAATCAACTTAATAGCTCATGGTGAGTATATTAAATTGTATTGAATAATTAAATGTTTAGTGATTGTTCATACAACCCGACATAAGATATTAAGAGCATGTAACATTGGAATTTGTTGCATCTGTCTTAGAAGGGCTTAACGTACCAAATTTACGCGCAGCAGATAACTTGTAGCTTTGTTAGTTTAAAAATTAGAGTGAATCCACCTACTATAAAACTTAATGGTAAGAAAAATATCTGTGCTTGCATGTGGGTTTTTTTCATGATAATTCAATTCTTAAGAGAGTTTTGAACATTTTGAATTTATGCTATATCATAATTAATATACACATAACTTGCTAAAAACTATCGTAAACACCCCACATACAAACACAGATAATTTTCTTACCATCAAGTTTTGTATAGTTCGATTCACTCTAATTTTTAAATTAACAAATCTACACGTTATCTGCTGGTCATAAATTTGGTATTTTACGCACTTGTAAGACAGAAACAACAAACGTCAGTGTTAGGTCCCCTTAAAGAAAAAATATTACATATAATTATTAAAAATCAATCATCTTCTTCCAATCATTCTATGTCGTCTGCATTGTCTGTATTCAAACATTCAATAGGTTTACCAAAATGTTCTTCGATTTTCTTCAGTACAGAATGGTCCGAACTATCACTTACAAGGTTAATAGCAATACCTTTTTTACCAAAACGACCAGTTCGTCCTATTCTATGTATATATGTATCATAATCAGGTTCGTGAGAGACTGTTATTGGCAAATCAAAATTAATAACAATCGTGACTTGCCCAACATCAATGCCTAAAATAATAAAATAGAAGTTTAAAATGAATAAAGTACAAAATAATTATGCTTATTACCTCTAGACAATGTGCTTGTTGTAACTAGAAGTTTTTCTTCTCCTTCGCGGAAACGGTCCAAGACAGATATTCTTCGTTGGACTGTGAGTTTACTGGATAACAAAGCAACAGCATGTCCTTGTTCTACCATTTGATTAACTAACCATGAAGCCATTTTTTTTGTCTAACATAAAAACAAAATATTATTAAATATTTAAATAATATAAACAAATATTACAAAAAATTCACTGTCAGGCTGTAATATTTATTACTAACAATATGAATGCATAGGCACATTATTTATATAGAATGATTATATTTCTTATGGCCAGTGTTACTTTCAAAAACCTGTGACAAATTTAATATCAATGAATCCATATTTAGATAGTTATTTATTATTAATAAATATAACATAGTTATATCATGCTATTTACGGCCAACACAACTATCCTGATATTCCTCGATAATATTGATTAAAGAAGAACTTATTGATTTTCATTAAGAATAATAAATCACATTTCATTAGAAAAACCAAGTATAAAGTATATATACTTTATGGTAAAACATAGCCTCGAACAGATTTGTTATGTGAGATTAGCTTTAGTTTTTTGTCTTAAGTATAACAAAATAATTTATTATAATTTATAATCAATAATCCTAAACTAAAAATACATTTGAATTGCTACTCATTTATGTTTAATTTAAGACATATATGATTGGGAGAAAAAAATTTTCTATTTGTAATTGTATAACTAAAACTGTCAATTTTCTACTTTCAACTTAGAAGATATGCAATTGTGATGTCCAATTTTAAATAAAAGATATAAAAAATGTTGCATACAATCCTTTTCATTTATTACCATTTTGTACAGCTAAGGTTTGAAAATTAATACTAATTCTTCTATACAAGTAGTTCATACAACATACTTTTCCAAAAACAAATTCAACCTACCTAGGTACCTATACATTATTATTTATTAGTTATTGGCTACGTTACAGACAACATTTCAGTAAGACGTTTATGATTTTACGCCCTTACTTACTAGTTAAAAGTTTATATATATATTTTTTTTTTTTGTTTTCACCGCTGGTTATAAACTCATATTAATATTTTGCTTTAATCACCTGACAAAAAATCAAAGCTTGTCCAATAGTCACTGCTCCACAAATATTCATTAATATATCGTATTTATCTTCTTTGTTGTTGCAGTTAACGTAGTATTGTCTGATATTACCCAATGTTTCTTCTTCGCGTTTTAATCTTAGGATTACAGACATAGGCGCAATAGCATTGGCGAACATCATGGCATCTTCTGAATATGTGGATGAAAAAAAAATCATTTGACATGTTTCTGGTAGTAACCTTTAAATGAAATGAAAATTTTTCAATTTAAATAAAAATGTTGGTTAGAAGAGGTTAGATGTTTTACTTTCTAATGTGGAAACATCGATTTTGATGACCCATGATCATAATATCAGCTTCGTCCAACACAAACACTTTAATATGTTTTGGGTCAAAATATTTGAACTTAGTCGCCCAATCCAAAACCGTTGCAGGTGTACCCACAATTATTTGTTCCTTTATTTTGGAACCTCTTTCAACTGAAAATAAATAATATATGTAGTACTGTCTTAACAATTAAGAAAATATATACAAAAATACAAACCACATTCACCACTAACAGCAAACCTTATATAAACATTTGGACAGTAGGTAGACATTATTGCTGCAACTTCTCCCGTTTGAAGAGCTAATTCATACGTGGGGGACAAACAAACTACCTACATGGAAATGTAGAAAGAATTAAATAACTAAATACAACGTTTGTAAAATATTCTAGTCTAATTACCTGTGGATACTGAAATTCCGGATCAACTCTACTCAACATAGCCAAAACAAATGCTGCCGTTTTTCCAGTACCTGACTGTGACTGTGCAATCAAACTTTGTGGACTATAATTTGCAATAAGTTAATTATATAAATATTCTTGTATATTATTAATATTAATTAATATTATAATAATATTGTACACAATAAAATATATAGTTTAGTTACTGTTAATAACAAAAACTAAAAATATTTATAAGTTAAAAGTTAAAAATACTAATATAATATAGTTATAACAACATAATATATATACAGTATATATTATATTATGACAATTCAGTAATCATAGGCCATGGCATCAATGGGTGACTCCTTTCATGAAAATAAAACTAACCATGTAATATTTGTTACTTTTATCATATATTCTTATTGTGTCAAATGATACAAATTGTATATTGCTTATAAAAAAATGTCAATAATTGAATATAATTAAATGCCAATTAATTGTTATTTGGATTAAAATATTGATGCAAGCCAACACAATTTAGTTGTCTCACTATGGTTTGATTATTTGAGTTCAATAGTTTATGTTGTGTGCAGTATTGTTAAGATATAGACTTACGGATGGGCCAAGAGTAAAGGCAGTGCAGTTTCTTGTATCTTTGACGGTCTATTATAACCCATTTCATAAACTCCTTGAAGCAAGTTTGGATGACTAAAAAATAATGAAAACAAAAACAACTCAACAATGACATACATAATAAATATTCCTAATGTACCTAATCATTATTAATATCATAATAGTTAAATTTTGAAAAACTTACAGTCTAAGTGACTCAAATGATTTGATCGAACATAATGGTGATTTTGGGTCTCGTCTTTGCATCTCAATGTCATGCTTAGATGTTATGAGATCGGTTTGCACGATTTTCTGCAATAAAGATTTTTCAGGTGCTGGCAATCCTTTGTCCCCTTCACTAGAAGTGTTGCTTCCAGTGTTTGCTGTTAGCTCATTTGAGTTGTGGTTAACCAAGTGTGCATTAGTTAACTGTGTAGATAAATTAATTTATTATTAAATAAGGTATAGAAAATTTCCGTAGTAAACCCGAGTAGCATTATTCAAGTTCACTGTCCATGTATAAATACTGTGTTCATGTTATTGTTTATTAGCAGTTTATGAATGTGCCAAGTTCACTAAATGGTTCAAATAAAATGCCAGGTTGTATAGATCAACTATGTACCCACACTACAGTTCATATACTGTATTTATATGTTTCATGTTAACCCAATTGTTCCTACAAAATGTCAGTATTAAGAAAACCATACCCAAAGCTCACTCAATGTACCTAAACACCGTACTCACACAATTTATTATAAACTGTATTTAAATGTTTTATGTTCGCCCAATGGTTCAAACAAAATCCCACGGTGTTTATGAAATCATTCTCAAAAGTTCACTCAAGACACACTGTGTCCACATAATTAATCCTACACTGTATTCGAATGTTTCACATCAACTAAACGTTTCATTAGAAATTTTTAAGTATTCACCATCGCATGTTTGACTCAGTATTAATATTTGTAATTTTAAAAATGTAGAATGTATGATATTAAATTTAAATTATTTCTAAAGTCTCTAGATTTTTCAAATAATATGATAATAGAATATTATAAGTTATATATTTCATTTGATTAAAGGCAGTAATATCACTATAGCAATACTTTTTAATCACCAAAAACTACATTGTAGGACTCCTCCAAGGCTTCAAACAATAAATATTATGATAAAATAACATTGTTGTTTATTTTATTACATGTAAAAATAATATACCCTTAATTATTATAGTTTATACCTGGTTATTGCCAAATTATAAATGATCAAAAATACCTACCTAATCTATTTGATGACATTTATGGTGAGTGAATGAGTGATATATTATGCACTTTTTATTTAATTTCTAGTATCTAGTACATTGTAATATTTAGAAAATCCATCTGAACATATTTGTATATACAGTTATTCCCACATTGTATAGACCGATAAGGTAGATTGATATAATATATAATCTGATTTTTGGAATTTTTGAATATATTTAAAGAAAATGATTTTAAATTCTTGAGATTTTTGTATTACTTGAGTTTCCTAGAATCCTAGAGACAAAAGTACTTCTATTTTCAATTGAAAACTTCCCATTTATACTTTTAAAAAAAAGTTGATAATTTATCTAAAGATATTGACATACCATAATCAAAATTCAAACAACTAATAGTTTCTGAGTTATTTAATTTTTCGTACTAAGGATAGTTGGTACATCATAAAGAGTTTGAAAGACTATACATGGGGACTATAACGAGTTGAAAATTGTAGTCATTAGTCTATGAGCATTTTAAATTTTTAAAAATAGTACAAGTTTATATCTAGATACATCATTTATATATAATATTATCTATTTTTTTAAATCATTTTCAATGACTTTTATTTGTAGTACCCACTGCAAACATTTAAATAACTAAATACTATATGTATACTCATTCAAATTTTGAATAAGGTACATTAGAAACATATTTCAATAAATAATTTATATCAAAAAGGGTGCATTATTTAAGTATAAAGTACAGAATATCACAAGAATTTAAACAAATAGTTTTCAAATATGTTTAAAAATTCCAAAAATAAGAATTTAAATAAATTCCTTTACTCAAAAAATGAGGTTGAACATGCTTGGTAAATCCTTATATATTTATATTTATAAGCAGTATCTGGTTTTCCACCTACACCTGAGGATGAACAACATTTTCACCAAGTTTTAACATTATCATAATACCTATAAAATATTATGTATATATTGATATAAGAATAATTTAACAAGTGATAAGTAATTTATTAAAACAAATATTTGATAAAATACATAAGTACATTTTTTATTTTATTTTTTTTTTACTGGTTATACAAATTGACTGAATATATTATCTAGTAATATATATATATATGTATATATTCTCTTAAATAATTTTGTATTCCTTTAGGATTTAATGATTTACCTATATCTATATTGTTATAACAAAGGTATCATTGTATTGTTTTATTAATTAAAAATACATTGATAGGTACATATTTTTATATGCGGATACATTTTTAGTATAATATTACAACTAAAGTATTTTAAACAATTTTTTTTTCAAATTTTTTGTTGGGATTTTTTATTCATACTTTTTTTTTAAATAAAAATAACAGTTACTAAAAATTGACTATAAACATATAGATCTTCATATTTTTACTATTGGAATGAAACCGGCATTTATAACTACATAAATGATGAGACCTATTTAAGCACTATTTTAACAACCCTGAGCACCGTAAATACACAGTATATAGTTTATACACACAAATTGTGAATCCACACGTCTACCGTTTTTGCACTGGACCTTTCATCTGTATATGATCCGACCGGATCACTGTTCATGAACAATACATATTTTATTCTGAATATACACCGAGCATAATAAAATACCATAACACGGTCATTGTACTTTTTTACAGTGCCATGAATCATAACCTCTAAACATGATTTGAAACAATTATTGAACCTAAATTACTACTCGAGCTATTGTAATATATTATAGCTTCAGAAAAATAAAATAAAAGTCAGTACTTACGTTTTTGGTGATTGATTCCATAATTAAAATTACTAAAAAATAATAGTGGTAGACCTAGGACGAGTATTTATGAGGATA